AGGCTTAGCACAGATTGCGGTTTCTTTTGAAAAGTCTTGAGTCGGAGTTGCCATTACCTTTTCCACTATCACCTCTATGGACATTTGCTACATTCACATCATCAGTATTATATTTGTATTCGCTTTTTGAAACAGTAAAAAATCCTCATTACTGCCACTGAATTCATCCAAATAGTTCAGTTCAAAATGGTCAGTACTCACTTTCATCTTCGTAGCGACCATATTGTCACTGTCTCGTGTACTTATCGTTGGTTTTTATTTTATTTCACTGTACAAATAGCAGGCAATTTTTGTGTGAGATTGAAATATGTATGTTTTCTTAGAAGCTTTTGTTTTTCCAATCATAAATATGTAATCTCTTCAGTCATGGCCTGGCTTGGTAGGTGTTGTCTACTTTGTCAGTTGTGATGAAAGAATTTTGGAAGTGTATTGAACATGTGGATGAGATTTCAGGTTCTAATGGCAGCAACTAGGAAGATGACCGTCTTCCGTATTGTTACGTTGCCTAGTATGTTGGAAATTTACTGACATGGCTGTTTTGCCAATGCTATTGTAAAAATGGTGTAAATCCTTAAAGTTAAGAAATGAAAAAGTATTAAAAAAAAAGTGCTCAAAATGCAGGTTTATTGACTTTTTAAAAGTCTGTACAGATATAATTGTAAAACATTTAGACAAAACTGGGAGCTGGGGGGGGCAGATCAGTCAGTATAGTGACTGACTATGGACTGGATGATTGGGGGTTTGATCCTTGACAAGGGTAGCCTTGCATCCGGACTGGGTCTGGGGTCCACCCAGCCTCCTGCTGAGTGGGTTCCGGGGTCCTTACCAGGGGGGTAAAGCGTGGCCGGGGTGAGACGCCGACCACTCACCCTTATCTAGCGCCGAGGTTAAGATCGAGTAGGAGCCGTACCTCCTCTCTCGCCAAGCGCCCACATGATATATAGTGGGGCAGCTTTACTTTTGATTTTTCTATATAAAACCATAAAGCTGAAGTGTTTGCTTTTCAGTAATGTAATATGAAATATAGGACCTGAAGCAGCTATCACGCTACAGTTGTAATTCGTGGACGTCTGCCCCTATAACCTGTTACCAGTAGTATCGTGGGTTTTGTATTTATTGTAAGTGGCAGTTTATTGAATACAAAACTTGCTTTACATATACGTAGATTATGGATTATTATTAAGTGTTCTGTCTTACGACAGGTCCATTGCTCTGCCCAAAAAGAGCTCTCCAGTTGTCCCTATTCTCGGCTTCTCGCTTTAATTCCTGGAACGTCATCTTCTTTCCTTGCTTGAGATCGTCGGTTACCTGTATCCGTCTTCTTCCTAGTCCTCTCTTTCCTTCAACCTGGCCTTCGATGATATCACTCATTAATCCATTCCTTCTCATAATATGTCCCAGCCAGTTAGCTTTCCTTCGTGTAATCGCCTGCAGAATGCTTCTTTGCTCGTTGACTCTCCTCAATACTTCTTCGTTGGTCAATTACTTAAATTAAATTAACTCCGTGGCGTAACAGCTCCAGGGAGCCAAAACCAACTAGCTTGACTGCTGGCCTCACGTTCACATGCCTAAGCAGAGGTGAACGATCATCCAACCAGATATAGGGTGACGTGTGGTCAGCACGACGAACCCCCAGCCATTGCTAGTTTTACTGACCGGATTACACTACTCACCCTAAAATGGAATTCAAAACATAATTTGAACAAAGATTTCATGTACCATAATTATATAATATGGTATAAAACACAAGTTAATATTATATTTAGCTTTATTTATGTGTTGACACTTTCATTTTATTGCTTCCTTTGAGATTATCTCACCGCTTAATGTTATTTGTTACTCAACTCCAATACATTTAAATTGAATCATGTAATTAGGTATAGCTGCAGACGTTTTGCCAAAGCTGACACACAAAACGCTCTTTTATTCTTCAGATCTAATTTTACAAATCAAAATAAAGCCTACAACAATACATGTCATACTTTATTAAAGTAGGAATTTGATTTTCAATCTAAGCATCTAGGCTCCAATTGCTGTTCGTATATCATAATAAAAAAATCTGTATATTTGTAGAAATACGGGACTACTTGGCGTCCCGTTTTATCCTTTTTAGGAAAACGGGACACCTACCTCAAAACGGGACAATCCTGTTAAAAACGAGGCGTCTGGTCACCCTGGTCTGTACTAAAGTTATAAGATCTGTAAGCCTATAATTTCTTTCATGTAAATGTTGTTATGGTGGGCCTATGTCTAAATTTTCTTCCGAGTTCTGTCATGTAGCATTCTAGAAGTTTATGGGCGTTTCGGAGGTGTTTCATTCCTCTATTATCAAGGCGACGAGGGCCTCATGGCACTGATTATGGAGGTAGGAAACTAATCTGAATCATCGGAAAACTTCTACAAAACTACTACACGGAGCAACCACCCAGAAGACAACTATCTTCTAAAGAAAGGAGAGTGTCCTCATTTCTACGAGCATTACTGTAATTTTATTTTATTCTTAATAACTGATGTGGTTATTTAGTGATGCTCTCTGAACTGGAGTTGTTGCATGACTGATTGGCAAGAGAAGATGACCATAAGTTGTGAGGAGGTAATCATAACCTGTGAGAAATGCCTTGGAAGCTGAGGAAAACTTTGACATTATTTGGTATTCTAGCCAAGCTTAGAAAATGAGTGTTACAGAGCAACTAGTACCTAACGTAAACTATTTGTCATCTAGATTAATATTGTAGAACACATTTCTACTATATGGAGCACTGTTGTAATGAAACAGCAATTTTCAAGTATGTGTGAAGTATTTAAATGATATTAAGTATTATACAAGGACAAGTGAAGTTTCATAATCTCAAGTTCCGTGAAAAGGTGGGACATTATTACAGATGGTATTTTTTTGAACGGGGTAGCTTAGTAAAATATATGGACCTTTTGTAATATGTACCTCCATGTAAGTTGAGGTTATGTATTGAAGTTAAATATAAATATTACGCCGTGAAGTCAAAGTCGGACTTGTTTCTTAGCGTCTGATGATAATCGAGTCTCCAGTACCTCACAGCCATTGCAGTAGAAACGTAAAAGTCTTTTCTCTTCGTCGTGTTGCAGAAATTAAACTGAAGATTCATAGGAAATGTCAAAGTTCCTTCATCGTTGTTCAGGGCTACAGTTTGTTCCACACGTCGTCATTGACGTGCATCTACGCGTTTCATACGAGAAAATAAAGTAAAGTTACTTTAATGTCAGTCACTTGTTTTTATTCTTCTTCCTTTTGGATCATCTGTCTCTTCCGACAAGCATCGTGGCATCTGGCAATCTGATACTCTACCTGTTCGTGTGTACACTGTTTATTTCTTTCGTATGGCAAATGCATTGGCACCCCTGTTTGCCTATTACTTAATATCACTGGATGACGTCATGAAATGACTCTGCTTGTCTAGTATTTTTGCTCAAGCTGATAGAATAGGAAGTGTGTCCACCAGGAAGTCACTCACGTCCTGAATATATTTATAATGGTGAAACAAATGAAGTAAGTTCGAAACGCAAATTGTGACGTTGACTTGTAGTTCGAAAATGAAGTTCATTTGCGATTATCCGACCCATACCGGGCAGAAGGACGGTTTGATAATCGAAAATGTCGTAAGACTAATAAAAATACTCGCTTTATAATTCATTTTACGATA